GTTGCTCTGCCTTGGACACGTGGCGTACTGTGGGAGGAAAATGCTGCACGCGGAAGAAGAGAGACGCTCACGTGGAAGGAACTCACTCAGGGGGAAGGGCTGTGCGTGCCACACGCGCGTGCATGAGGGAGCATCTGGGTCCCATGCGACACCTGGCGGAACTCGGTTGGAGAGCTGCTGAACGGTGGGACCCACGCGGAGAAGAAAGGAAACGTGCCAGACGTGCGCATGAGAAGAACTCGCCCGAGGAGGAAGGCTGTGCGCGCCAAGCGCGCGTGCGAGCGGGTGCAGCTGGGGCCCATTGATCTGCGACGCGGCAAAGACCGACACGTGGTGGCTTGGTGAGGCTCGCGCGACGCGGCTCGGTTGGCGGACGGCTGCTGATGGGCTTCATTTTCTTTTTCTTTTGTTTTTGGCCCAAATGTCTTATTTCCCTTTCTCTACAAAAAAAATTAAATTAAATTAAAATCAAATACTTCCACAAAATATTAATTCCACAAAAATATTTAATTAAAACTTAATTTATTTAGCAATTATGAACAGTTAAAACGCATTTTCATGCACTTATCAACCCGCGTACTGGGCGCTAGCTCAGGGGCCGGGATGGGTAAAAAATTTCCATTTTTATTTATGTTTTGCATTCTAAAATTAACTTATGATTTTTTTGGATTAATGCAACAAGCGGCACAATTTTTTGATGCATATTCTATTTTTTATTGTTTTCTTTATTTTTCGTCTTTCAAAAATATAATAAAATAAAAACAACGTAAAAAATATAATGAAATTTTGCAGACACAATCGTTACATTTTTCTAGGCATGCCAAAAAAAGATGGCCTCAAAAAATGACAAAAAAGTAAAATGCTGTCAAAAAGCCCTTGAGCCGCGTAGTGGGGCGGCCAGGAGCCAGGTCAGAGGCCGGGATGAGTCAAAAATATATATTTTTATTTATCTTTCACATTCTAAAATTAATATGACTTTTAGGAATTAATGCAACAAGTGGCATAATTTTTTGATGAATATTCTATTTTTTATGATTTTCTTTATTTTTTGTATTTAAAAAATATAATAAAATAAAAATGACATAAAAAAATAATGAAATTTTGTGTACATGATTCTTACATTTTTCTAGGCATGCCAAAAAAATGGCCTCAAAAAATGACAAAAAAAATAAAACGCTGTCAAAAAGCCCCCGGCCTGCGTAGTAGGGCGCCTAGGGGCCAGCTCAGAGGCCGCGATGGGTAAAAAATTTAACATTTTATTTATATTTTGCATTCTAAAATTAATCCATGATTTTTAGGAATTAATGCAACAAGCGGCACCATTGTTTGATGAATATTCTATTTTTTTATGATTTTTTTTATTTTTCGTCTTAAAAAAATATTATAAAATAAAAACGACGTCAAAAAATAATAAAATTTTGTACACACGATCCTTACATTTTTCTTGGCGGGCCAGAAAAAAATAGCCTCAAAAAATGAGAAAAAAGGTAAAACACTGTCAAGAAGCCCCCGACCCGCGTAGTGGGGCGCCTAAGGGCCAGCTCAGGGGCCGTGATGGGTCAAAAATTTACAATTTTATTTATATTTTGCATTTAAAAATTAATTTATGATTTTTAGGAATTAATTTAACAAGCGGCACTATTTTTTGATGAATATTCTATTTTTTTTATCATTTTCTTTATTTTTTGTCTTTAAAAAATATAATAAAATAAAAACGACGTGAAAAAATAATAAAATTTTACCGACACGATCCTAATATTTTTCTAGGCATGTCAAAAAAATGGCCTAAAAAAAGTAAAACACGATCAAAGAGCCCCCGACCCGCATAGTAGGGCGCCCAAGGGCCCGCTCAGGGGCCGGGATTGGTAAAAAATTTACATTTTTATTTATGTTTCGCATTCTAAAATTAATATATGATTTTTAGGAATTAATGCAACAAGTGACACATTTTTTGATGAATATTCTATTTTTTGATGATTTTCTTTATTTTTCGTATTTAAAAAATATAATAAAATAAAAATGCTGTTAAAAAATAATGAAATTTTGTAGATACGATCGTTACATTTTTCTAGGGATGCGAGAAAAAAATGGCCTAAAAAAATGACAAAAAGTAAAACACTGTCAAAAAGCCCCCGGCCCGTGTAGTGGGGCGCCCAGGGTCCAGCGCCGAAGCTGGGATGGGTCAAAAATTTACTTTTTTTATGTTTTACATTTTAAAATTAACATATGATTTTTAGGAATTAATGCAATAAGCGGCACTATTTTTTTGATGAATATTCTATTTTTTATGATTTTCTTTATTTTTCGTCTTTAAAAAATCTAATAAAATGAAAACGACGTCAAAAAATAATGAAATTTTACAAACACAATCCTTACATTTTTCTAAGCATGCCAGAATAAAATGGCCTAAAAAAATGACAAAAAATGTTAAATGATGTTAAAAAGCCCCCGGCCCGCGTAGTGGGGTGCCCAGAGGCCAGCTTAGGGGCCGGGATGAATAAAAAATTTACATTTTTATTTATATTTTACATTCTAAAATTAATGTATGATTTTTAGGAATTAATACAACAAATAGCCTCATTTTTTGATGAATATTCTACTTTTATGATTTTCTTTATTTTTCATCTTTGAAAAATATAATAAGACAAAAATGACGTAAAAAAATTATAAATTTTGTAGACATGATCCTTATATTTTTCTTGGCATGCCAGAAAAAAGCAGCCTCAAAAAATGAAGAAAACACAAGTAAAACACTATCAAAAAGCCCCCGGCCAGCGTAGTGGGGCGCCCAGGGGCTAGCTCAGGGGCCGGGATGGGTCAAAAATTTATATTTTTATTTATGTTTTGCATTCTAAAATTAATATATCATTTTTAGGAATTAATGCAACAAGCGGCACCATTTTTCATGAATATTCTATTTTTTTTATGATTTTCTTCATTTTTCATCTTTAAAAAATATAAAAAAATAAAAACGACGCCAAAAAAAAATAAAATTTCGCACACACGATCCTTACATTTTTCTAGGCACGCCAAAAAAAATGGCCTCAAAAAATGACAAAAAAATGTGAAATGCTGTCAAAAAGCCCCCGGCCCGCGTTGTGGGCCACCCAGGGGCCGGGATGGGTCAAAAATTTATATTTTTATGTATGTTTTTCATCTATTTTTTTATGGTTTTCTATTTTTCATCTTTAAAAAATATAAAAAAATAAAAATGACGCCAAAAAAGAATAAAATTTTGCACACACGATCCTTACATTTTTCTAGGCACGCCAAAAAAAATGGCCTAAAAAAATGACAAAAAAATGTGAAATGCTGTCAAAAAGCCCCCGGACTGCGTTGTGGGCCACCTAGGGGCCGGGATAGGTCAAAAATTTATATTTTTATGTATGTTTTTCATCTAAAATTAATATATGATTTTTAGGAATTAATATAATAAGCGGCACCATTTTTTGATGAATATTCTATTTTTTGATTTTCTTCATTTTTCATCTTTGAAAAATAAAATAAAATAAAAACGACGTCAAAAAATTATGAAATTTAGCAGACACAATTCTTACATTTTTTTGGACATGCCTACAAAAAAGAGCCTAAAAAAAAGAAAAAAAATAAAATGCTGTCAAAAAGCCCCCGGCCCGATTAGTGGCGCGCACAGGGGTCAAGATGGGTCAAAAATTTACATTTCTATTTATGTTTTGATTCTAAAATTAATATACAATTTTTAGAAATTAATGCAACAAGCGGCACCATTTTTTTGATGAATATTCTATTTTTTATGATTTTGTTTTTGTATTTGAAAAATAAAATAAAATAAAAATGACGTCAAAAATTTTTGAAATTTTGCAGACACTATTTGTACATTTTTCTGGGCATGCCTGCAAAAATAACATCAAAAAATGACAAAAAAAGTAGAACGCTGTCAAAAAGCTCCCGGCCCGCGTAGTGGGGCGTCCAAGGGTCGTGATGGGCCAAAAATTTACATTTTTATTTATGTTTTGTATTCTAAAATTAATATACGATTTTTAGGAATTAATGCAACGTGCGGCACTATTTTTTGATGAATATTCTATTTTTTTATGATTTTCTTTAGTTTTCATATTTAAAAAATAAAATAAAATAAAAATGACGTCAAAAAATTATAAAATTTTACAGACACGATCCGTACATTTTTCTAGGCATGCCTGCAAAAAATGGTATAAAAAAATGACTAAAAATTAAATCATGTTCGCCTAATTAAACGTTTCGTAGGGGAGTTTTATTTTTAATTTTCATTCCTTTTTCCCTCCATGTTTTTTTTTTTCATTTTTATTCTTTTTGTCTTATTATATATCGCTAAGGTTACGGTTTTAATGATTACTTTAATATTTACTCATTAATATGTATCGTTATTTTAACCGTAAGATATTAATCTTACGATTATAATAAATTATATAATTGACTAAAAGAATTTATAACAATTAATAAAATTAAACTCTTATCACGTAATATTATCAAATTTTTATATTTGATAATATCTATGGATAAAAATTTAATTATTAAAAACTCATCTATTTCTCTAAATCAGACTTCAATAAATATATTTTTTATTCTTATATGCGAAATCTCTTACTGATAAGTGCGTTTTCAACTAGTAACAAATGAAACAAAGAGAAAAAAAAAAAAAAAAAAAGAAGCAAAAAACGGGGCTTACAAGATTTTAAGCAAGGAGATTTGCAGACTCGGTAATAACGAAAGTTTGACTTGATTTGAAATTTACGCTGTCTCATGTTATCAGTTATTAGCGATTATCGATCCAAATTGCATTAAACCCAAATTGTCCATCATAAGTAAAAAATTATTAAGAAAAAAAAACATATGAGAAAAATAGGAGTTTTATATAATATGACATAAAAATAAAAAATTACCTAGATTAATAATTAAAAAAACTTAACGATACAGTATTAGAAAATCTTCCCATTTATAATCCTGCCCAAACAGGCCCACTTCCTCGTCCCTACTGAACTCTCCTCACTCGCTTCAGTTAGCTTCACTACTTTTAACTATGGCGTCTCTCCTCTCTCTACCGCCATCTACTTCGTATTTTCTCAATCACGATTCCTTGCTTTCCTCCGTCATCTTCCCCAAAAGGTACGTGTTTCTTTGGTTGTCGAGAAAACTCTGAATTCTCTCTCAGGTTGTTTTGCTTTTATCTCTTTATTCAATCAATTTGCCGAATTCCATGAGACTGTTAAGTATTTTCCTTTTATCCTTTTCCTTTTTCCTCTGAACTTTAAAGGAAGGCCTTCTTGGATTTCATTAGGGTTCTTCCGCGCTTGTTTCTTTTTAAGTTTGTAATCTTACACAAATTGTTTTATCGAGTTTATGGCATTCGCTATAAATTGCAAATTTTAGCGGAATGAAATGAACCCGCTTGCACTTAAAAAAAGAATAATAAGGAAAGGCCTTTAATTTCTTGGATTCTATGTAATTACAGGAAGTTCAGTTTCTAAATTCCACATGTATTCTTGTTATCTATAGGCAAAATAATCAACGCTCGTGGAATTACAAAGATATTAGATACTGCACAATCAAGTGCCGAATTGCCAAGACCAAAGAATCTCCTTCCACAAAACCAGCAACGCTTGTAAAGGAACCTCACAAGTACTTTGATCAGGTCATCATTACAGTTCGTTCAGGAGGCGGAGGCCACGGTGCTGTCCTAAATATGCCGAACCAGAGAGCTCCTGGGGACAAGTCGCAAGGAAAACGCGATCATAAGGAGAAAACCAGGAAGAAAAGTCCTTACAAAAGGGACTTTGATGGGTCACTTATATTGCCCACTGGTGGGCATGGAGGAGATGTGGTGATTTATGCCGACGAAGGAAAGGATTCATTGTTGGAATTTCACACGAAAAGCCGGTATAATGCAAAACGCGGCGGGAATGTTGATGCCATGGGTGTTTTGACTTCTCAATTACAAAATGGCCTTTCTGCACCAACTTTGCGTATTCCTGTGCCTGTAGGTTTGTATGTTAACTAGGAAATTTTTTGGAGAAACTAGAATAGTGTCGGTTTTTATTTCCTCATTTTCCTCCTTATTCCGGTATTTTTTCCCCTAATAAATGTGACAGGTACAGTAGTGAAACATAAGCGGGGAAAGTTGTTTGCGGATCTAGCACGTCCAGGTGATGAAGTCATCGTGGCAAGGGGTGGACAAGGAGGGGTGAGACACAATGAATTTTAAATGTAGGGCAAATTTTGATATAAAGACGATATTTTTGTATAATTTCTCCTTCTGATACCTGTGGTAGTTTTGGAGCTTCTTTGTTTATCTCTTTCTTCGTGCTTTATATATTCTTCTTTTACCTTAGAATTATTATTATTATTTATTTTTATTTTTTTTGCCTTTTGCCTTTTAAACTTTTTGTTTTAATCTTCGGCTAAAGGAAGACTTGTGGTTTAGAGTAGTATTTTCACTTGTTTTGGTATCATCACGGATTCAATAGGTTCTGTTGGGTTGTGGCAGATTTGCTTGATAGACGTTCCTCCACAGAGAAAGAAAAGGATGATGGCTATGACCACAAATGTGATGAGAGATGATAGTGATAAGGTAAAAACTGTGTCTTGTATTCAGTGTTTAGTTTTCAACAGGTATTCCATGGTGAAATCTCCATGGAAATAAAGTGCAAGCACCAAGTGTTTGGATGTTTGAAACTCGAAATGGTAGTATTTGCTAGTAGTCTTCTTTATTGCAGTTATTGTGATGCATACATTTGGTTGGCAGGCCTCATTACTTTTTTCTCCATTAGTTATTTGGGTAATATTGACAAATACCCCTGAAAGTGCACGGGTCAGGATTTTTACCCTTTACTCTTGATTCATAACCTTTTTAGTCAAATAATTACACTAACAAAAGAGTATTTATTAAGAGTAAGGGATAAAGGTCCAGACTCATGCACTCTCAAGGGTAAATTCTCCATTTTTTCTAGTCATATTTATATTTTGCATTTGAATATCAATGGACCATACTAATAGATTTTGCCTATTTCAATTTTTTTTTTTTTTTTTTTTTTTTTTTTTTTTTTTTTTTTTTT